TCATCAACTAATGGGACAGAAATTTCAGAAAGTCAGAAAGCACACATCAGAGAAGAATTTTTAAATATTAGTGTCTTTTATGCTATTAAATTATAAATCTTCCTGAAGGTCTATAAAGCAGTGAAATTCTCAAACTTGTTATTCACTTATAAAAATCACAGTCTACAGGAGTGCCTGGGTGGCTCAGTCAGTTAAGCATTCCACTTCAGCTCAGGTCATGATCGCACAGCTCAGGAGTTCAAGCCCCACTTAGGACTCTGTGCCGACAGCTCAGAGCCTGGAGCCTGCTTTGGATTCTGTGTCTCCCTCTCTGTGTCTCTCTCTCTGCCCCTCCCCGGCTCGCGCTCTGTCTCTGTCTCTTAAAAATAAATAAATGTTAAAAAAAATTTTAAATGACAGTCTACATAAAGCAGTTTTATCTATGCCTCATCATAAATTAATAAACATTTGTGGCTTTGCAGTATTTTAACAAAACTATTAGTTCACACTTACGGAGTGTTTTCTACAGGGCAGGCATGATGCTGAGTCCTTTACAGACTTCAGATCATTTCATTCTTATCATAATTCTGTCAGATCAGTAAAATTAGTCCCATTTTGCAAATGAGCAATTAAGAGAGATTAAGTCCCTGCCCAAAGCAACACTTCTCACAACCTATAAATATAGAGCCACTATTTAAACACAAACCTGTTTGATTTCAGCATTTATAAGATTTTATTTCTGACTCTCCCCTAAAAGTGTGTTTTTCTCACAAAGACTGACTCCTCTCCTACAAGAAACATAGACTAACAATGTCCAAAGAGGGCATGGTATGAGCTATAGAAATGTGCACCCTGAAAATGACAAGCAGAGAGTAGGGGGGATCAAGTATTCTGCAAAACAGCCTCAAGCCATTAAGCATAAAAGTGAACAACAGAGAACTAAGGGCAAAGGAGAGAGTATCTTGATAGCAGCAAAAACAAACAAAATTACTCCTTTTATACAGAAGCCTGAACCTCTCCCAGATGTATGAAGAGATACTGCAAGTACCAGTGGCATGGATGGGCGTCTTCTGCATTAATCTTCTCAGCCAGAGCCCTCAATGTATTTGCAAAACACAAATTGGACATCAGTTCAATCTGTTTAGCAATCCTCAAACTGGTCACAGCTTCGTACTTCCCCTGGCTGTAAACACTTCTCCATTCTTCTCCAATCCCCAAAGTCCCCTTCCATCACTCAGACTAGAGGTAATTCAACATTTCCTGGAGTGTCAAAAGTCAAGTTTCGTCCTCTCATCACTGTTCCTCTCTACCCCATGCCCCCCAGAACACCCCTCACTCTCCCCCCTTACACTCATCTTCATGTTCACTCCTAATGTAACCAACTCTTTCAGATCCCTCAGATGCCCTCAGCTGAAATACTACAAGAACTAATTTCCCTGTTTCTGGTTTCTCCCACAACCAATCCATTCAGAAACCTCTTCCAGACTAATCTTCCTAACCTACTTATTTTGTTATGTTACACTCTCCTCAAGTTCCTCTCAAGGACCAACTCTTTAACAAGGCCATTAATGTTACCAAAACCCAGCCACATTTACAGTTTCATCTCCTACTTCCCTCTACAAAATTCTGCACTGTACCTCCCACCACAAAAAAATCAAAATTCCTGAAATGTAATTTTGAGGTCCCACTGGCTCCTCCACCAACTAAAGAAGGAAAATACACTCGAGGAGCAGGTAATAAACCAATACCTATGACGAACCAACAAGTCTATGTAGAAGAACCAAAGGATAATGAATTGATATTATCTCTTTAGATTCAATAACACCCTGATTTCAAATTATAATGATACTGAGGGGGGGAAACTGTTATGATAAATTATTTTTTAAGTTTATTTTGAGAGAGAGAGAGAGAGAGAGAGCGCGCGCGTGCACAAGTCGGGTAGGAGCAGAGAGAAGCAGAATCAGAATCCCAAGCAGGCTCTGCACCATCAGTGCAGAGCCAGATGTGGGGTTTTAACTCGTGAACCGTGAGATCATGACCTGAGCCGAGATTAAGAGTCGGAGGCTTAACCAACTGCGCCGCAAGTATTTTCAAAAGAGTTAAAATAAAATAGGTGGGTAGGATTTGGGTCAGCATTCCAAACAGAAAGAATATAGTTTAATTGCTAACAGCACATAATTTTGAATCAGACAAACTTGCCTTCAAATCATAGCTCTGCCTCTGATAAACAGTGTGACCTCAAGCAAGTTTCTTAAGCCTCAATTTGGAGGATGATTACTATCTCCTAGCAGTACTAGGTGAATTTGAAGATAAAATGAATTATGTACCTAAGGCACACTGTATACTGCCCAATACATATTAAGAGCTAAATAAAGAGCTTTTTAATTATTATTATTACTGAAGCATATCTCAGATCCAGTGAAAAGGCTATTTAGCAAGAAGCAGACAGTATATGACAATAGTAAGCAGTAAGAATCAGAAATATACAGAGTACCTCAACCATCTGTAGTATTCAGAATATTCACCAAAAAGCATATAACAAAACCACTCTTCAAGGTCCTTGGCTAGATTCCTACATAAAGTTTGGCTCCTTTGGATATAAAGTGGTTAAACAAAATGGTATCTAAAGCTCCTTTCAGATCTAACCTTCAAAAAAGTGTGTAACTGCTGTGAATTGGAATTCTGGATGTTCATCACCATTACCTGGTTAACTGCTTTTGAAGTGTGCAAGGGCTTACTAATGTTCCACTAACCTCACAAACTTGGGGAACAAAGCAACATTTAAACCCCAAGTAAAAAATTACTAACCACCAGCCAGTCACAAAGAGGGACAGCAACAGTTGCTCTCACTGAACAACTTACTGCAGCTGAACTCGACAAATACATGACTGCCTTCATGTGAACCCAAGGTGAGGAGTCTTCAGGTCTCCTAGGAATTCTCAGGGGCAGTTTAAGAGGAAGAAAATAAAAAACAAGATGTGACCTGAACAGGAGGTCTGTTCTTGGGTCAGTGCACAAGAAAGAATCAAGAAGACCAAAAGAACAGTATTTCAAAATGCTAAACTGAGTCAGGAAGGCTCTAATCTAACTATACATTACTTGGGAACAAACCCAATTATATGTCATATGTCCAGATCATGTCTTCACTATCGGGACTTCTGCATACTTAAGATATTTATAAATCTAGTCTTTCTCTAAAGAGCTAAATCAAATTAAGAGAGCATACCCCTCTTTTTATGTGGAAAATAGTCAAGAGCTGCATTATTGAATTAATATTAACATGCCCATTTACTGATTTTTTTTCAGTGTAATTTCCTAGTCTTACCCAAAGATTTTCACATGCAGAAAGCTATCCTTCCACATATCAAAATCACCTTTCTATATACTTATTTCTGAATAAACTTCTCTAAACAAATATTTTTCTGTATACTTATTTCTGGATGAATTGCTTTAAACAATATTTTTATCAGCTTTCATTTTTATAAATTATGAGAACTGTAAGAATCATATCTGTGAACTTATGAGTAAGCTCATACTAATATCATTTTATAATTTTAAGTGATGAGATCGTTTTATCCCACTGTTCTGCAGACAAAAAAAATAAATAAATGAATCTGCTGAGCAGAGTTCCAGAAAAGTGCCGATTTCTATAAAAGTTAAAATTGGGGGGTGCCTGGGTGGCTCAGTCAGTTAAGCGTCCGACTTCAGCTCAGGTCATGATCTCGCGGTCTGTGAGTTCGAGCCCCACGTCGGGCTCTGTGCTGACAGCTCAGAGCCTGGAGCCTGTTTCGGATTCTGTGTCTCCCTCTCTCTCTGACCCTCCCCTGTTCATGCTCTGTCTCTCTCTGTCTCAAAAATAAATAAACGTTAAAAAAAAAATAAAAATAAACTGGTATTTAACCATGTATTATATAATTCATTTCAAAATGATAAATCTATAATATAAATTTTAAAAAATTTCTATTTACATAGATCATGTCAAAATAATGCATAATTTTGGTCAGACTAAATACTTAAGGAACTATAAAAGACTGTAATTTAAAATAAAAATGG